GTCGAAGAATTGCAAGTTCAACTGCACATGACGGAGGATAAAGTAGACGGCCTGCAAAATCAATTACACGATACTATTAGGAAACTCAAAGACTGTAATGAATTTTCTTTCCCAAATTTTCTGTTTCAAAATTCTCGATCAATATTATTATCGTTATTATAATCAACTTATTATTTTATTGCAGCTGACAATGTTAATGAGACGATGCGCAAAGAGTTAGTTGACGTACGAAGACAATTAGCGGATACCACGTATGAGAAAGAAAAATACAACAACAGTAACAAAGAATTGCGGGAACACGTTAAGCAAATTGAGAGCGAAAGAAGGGAACAAGGAAGAACGTTGGAGGAGTCGTACCAGAAAATAGCAAGTTAGTATTTTCTTTTCGTAGTATATAGATGCGTTTAGTGTCGGAGTAGCTGCTAAAATGTCCGTGTTTAGCATTGGAAGACACGAAAGCGACCATGGACGTCGAGAGGACGCGTCTGCAGGCGCAAGTACGCGACATGGAACGCGACGCGTTACAACTGCAGCAGCAACTTCGTTTCACGCAGGACGAGTTACAGAAATGCCACGAGAACAATGCCCAGGCTCAAAACGAAGAAAAGGAGCTGCAGGCCAGACTTGCTAACGAGATCGAGAAGAGAGAGCGAATACAACTGCAATTGCATCAAGTGAAGAAACAGGTGAAGAAACGCGCAAGTCCTTCTACATATATTCGATTTCAGTCAATAAAACGAATCTTATTGTTGCAGGTAATCGACTTGGATAACAGTTTGGAAGTTACGCGGCAAGAACTTGGAAAACTACGCGCGCGAGCGGATGAAGAAGATGAACGGTGGCATGCCCGAGAACAAGAGTTGCTGGTGCGGCTCGAGGATAGCCGCTGTCGCGAAAGAAAATTGGAAGATCAGAAACATAATCTGGAAGTTTGCTTGGCCGATGCCCCGCAGCAACTTCAAGAGCTAAAGGTATATAATTTTCGAGGAAGACAAAACAAAAAGTTCGCGTGTCGGTTCGCACCGAAAATTAAGGATGTATTTCTGATTTCAGGCACGCCTCGGAGGATCCGAAGGCAGAGTAAGAGCACTCGATGCCCAATTGTCGCAATTGGAGACTGCTAAGAAGGAAGTAGAGCAGAAACTGAGCAGTGTGGGTTCCACGCTACGCCGTATCGCCGGTATTCAAATGGATGGAAGCGTAAACATGCCGTTTAAATTAATGAGCCCTTCGAGAAGATGGAGTCCAGCACGTGGTAATAAAAATTTTTATTTTGATCTACAACAATGATACTATTTATTATCTCACGGTGCATAAAATGCAGTTAATATGTATTTTAATTACAGCGCAAGACCATGCTGATAGTAGCAGAGATATCATACTGGACGTTGATCCTGAAACCGTTAGGAAAAGAGTACGATCGCTTATGCAACAAGTTGCTCAAATCGAACGCGAGAGGGTACGTTGTACTTTGACGATTATTCATAAGTGAATTATATAAGCCGATCTGTTATAATAAAATCTATGATAACGTTGTAGGATGATTACAAAACAGAACTGTGTAGCTTGAAGAAGCAACTGAAAAAGTCTCAAGAAAACCAAAACAATACGGATGTAAAAGTCAATAATCTTCTGACTAATATTCGGACGCTTCAGGAAGAGAAAAAATCTATCGAAGCAAAATTAACTCAAACGCAAACTGGCTATCACGCACAGATATATCTTTCTTCTATGTCTTGCATTCCACTAAGGAAGGAAGCGTTAATATTTTTATTTGTTTTCAGCTGGACGCACTTCAACAAAAGACAGAGGAATGTGAGCATTTATGTGAAAAGGTTACAACCTTAGAGATAAAGATGAGTACCGAGCCAGACGAAAAATCTCAGTACGAAATACAGTCTAGAAGAAATATTCTCAAAATCACTATATACAATCTCTCAGTGCATATAACTTTGCGTTTGTTTAGGATAAACTAGAGAAAATGAAGCAAGAATTAAACAAATTGGAAACGGAGAAGCGTAATCTACAGAAAGAAGTCCGTCACAGCGACTCTCGCGCAACAGAAATGGAATTGCACAGAATGTCTCTAGACGGCGATCTCCAAAGATTGCAAATGATGCTGCAAGAAAAAGAAGCGCATATTCAAGTAAGGTGGAAACGCGATTACTAAAACAACAATCTATATTTTGAGAAAAGTGTTAATATTCGAATCAATATATTAATAATGTCAATCCACGAAGACAATATATTTTTGAGGAAAAGAAGGTTTTTGGAATTTAAACATAAATTTCATGAACGCTGTTCTTTTTAGAAACTGCAAGACCGCTTTGACACACAAAGCCGTACCACAGCAAGTTTAGAGGAACGTTGCGCTTCGTTAAAATCTACTATAGAACAATTAAAACTATCACTAGAAAAACATCGGCTACGGAAAGCGAGCTTAAGAGCTGAAATAAATTTGTTACGACACAACGTAATGGAGATCACTACTTCCTCTCAAAGTAACAATGAAAAACTCAAGCAGGTAAGAGTCCGCTAATGGAAGCTTCTCCCTCTCCCCAACTATAAATCGACATGTATTTTATTTCAGCTGCAGAAACAACTCTCGAATGCCGAGAACGAGCTAGCTAATAATGAGGTACAGCGATCAGCTTTAGAATCGCAATTAAGCGTTCTATGAATATCTCAATTATATCCCGCGAAAAATTAGAATTTATAATGTAGACAAAATTAAAAAATTAATAATGAAAAATTTCTCGAAAAACCGACCACGAAAACCGACCGTAAAAACACAAAGATGCGTTATTATGCATGTTGTTCATGCGGTACGCATCTCGAAAATGTATCAAATAAGATATAGATACAGATTAAATGACGTGAGATCCAAAAAAAAAACTTTCCGCACGATTGATATTATAATTAATCAATAACCGCATTGTTATAATTAAATAATTAAATGATATATATGCAAATCTTTATTTTACGATTATCGATAATGTATCTCGTTATATTTTTCTGTCACTTTCTATCTAAATTATTTTTGATATAACGTAGTTATTTATTATTGCAAAACTGAATAATTGTACTATATCATCAGTTCTGAAATAATTTAAATTTTCAGTATTTCGACAGAATATTTAGAATCTCACGTCATATAACTTGACTTTATCTAGCATAAAGCCAATTTTTCAATTAAAAATAGATGGATAGGCTACAAAAAATTAGGGTAAAATCGATGCTTTGTTAAAATAAATTTTAGTAATAAATAACAATTTTATCACGTTTTCTATCTAATAAATTCTAAATATATCTATATATTGCTTTCTTGCATCGATTTATAAATATTTAATCTTGGTTAAATATATGGAAATGAATAAATGGGTAAGTATAAATAAAACACATCCTAACTCATAATTTTTCCCTATCTACAAATATTTTTTCTTATAACATCTAACTCTAACACAATATTTTACTTATCTCTTTTGTTTAAGAAAAAAAAAATATATATATAATGTTACAAAAATAATTTTTCAAAGAAATTAAAAAAAATTTTATTTAAAAAATTATTACTTTAATTATTAGAGAATTATTTTACTTTTTGTTTCTCTTGTGTTTCTAAAATATTTATTATTTACTCTAGTTTTAAATAGAATTGATCTATGTAATAAAAATTCAAAAATTTAATTTATGTACTTAAAAACTTTATTCAAAAGTAATTTATATAAAACGCGGCAGTTCGTTAACATAATTTAATGAGTTCTTCGCGAGCTCGGTGCGTGCGAAGTGTACGAGTATTTCCTCAAGCACAATCGCACAATAAATCAATAACAATCAGCAAATACAACGATATACAAATGATGACCAAGATTAAATATTTCCCATAATCAATTTTAGCCCATCCATTTTAAGGCAATGGATCTACGAAACGTAATATTTTCATACTACAAATTATTGTAAATCGGCATGTACCGAGATATATTATTGCTCTATATTTAATTATATATTCGTAGATTCGTTACCTCAATAAAAAAATTATTTATTGACTCACCGATTCGATGCGCAACGGGCGGAGTTATGCAGCCACGTAGCTACGGTGATACTGTAACATACAAACATAAGATTTAAATTAAAAAAGCGCTCAAAATTATTAACATTTGAAAAGTTGATTCTTACGCGTCTCTAATTCGTCTTTCAATAAAATATTTAGCAATACAATTATCTGTTTATCGAAAAAGATCTTTGCAAGAATACCATTTTAGATAACTTCTCTTTCTTTAATTACTTTTAACTTATCAAAATTTAAATAAAACAATTCGAATAAATGGAGACAAATTATTAATTTTACGTAGCTAAGAGATGATACTTACCCCAAGGTTGCTCCGTCGGTGCCCGATGTCTCTCTCCAGACCTCCTCCTCCTCTCAGGACGTCAGGCTTCCTCCTTTCACCGCACAGGACACTCGCGAGAAACACTCGCGGATAATAAACTACAATCGCGCGCGGACTAATTTCATGAAAAGTCTTTCTCACGCGATACTGTACGGCACTCCCGTTTAAAAAAAGTCCTTTAGTCCGATTACTTGAACGGCACTCCCGAAGCAAACGCGACGAACCGGCTGCGGTTCGTTTATTCAATTAATTCGGCGGTCGAGAGTACGTTAGCTTCCCCGTCTTTGAATTTTTACCCAAATAGAAGAAGAGTTTTGCTTGGGTAAATGCGAAGATACTCCTTCCCGCGCGTGGATATTTTCTGTAACATAAAAATAATCGAATCGATTATAGTATATTGTGCACCAAGGGGCGAAAGTAGCACACGATGGGCGCAATAAACTGCGCGCTGATTATTTGTCGGACTTGAAACACAGCTATCGTTGGAACATTAATACCCTTCCCTCCCCGGAATTAAATCTACACGATTTAATTATATAAAAAACTGTAAAAAAATTATTGTGAAAAATATTAATGTTCCAACGATATTATAGCTGTGTTTCAAGTCCGACAAATAATCGGCGCGCAGTTTATTAAGTTGGAATATATGTATATACGTATATACATTTTAATTCGTTACTTCTGTAACTATTAATTCTCTATTTGCCACGTACCGCGCTTGACTCGTATCATCGTCATTAATTTTTAGAATATAATTAAAAAATATAATTTTTACAAAGAATAAGCATTAATTAGTGAATTTAATATTTACACTACAATTTTGGAATTAAAAGATTGGATTATTTCCTCTATTTTGTATTTTAGATGGTGATTCAGATGTATCTTCAGTCATGATACAGCCAGCAAGCGACACAAATCGACACAAACGTCGTTGTATCTTTCTTTTTTGGCAATGAGTAACAAAGACAAAACGACACTTGTGTCGACTTGTCACTTGCTAGAAAGCTTCCTATATATGTTTTAACATTTGCCCGTTACTTTACTTTCTGCCCTAGGAAGGAAAGTGACCACTTTCGTCCTTGTTTGGCGGGAGGAAAGTAACAACTTTCCTCCCTGGCGTGAAATTGGCCACTTTCGTCCCTCTCTACAAACATGGAAAGTCGAACTTTCCGTGGAGGTGTTGTGAAAAATTATGTTCAAAGCTTAATAAAGACGTTATCGCTACATACTTATTGTCAAGCTTTTTTGGCACACATTAAAATTTTTAGAAACTCTAATAAAAACACCCTGAGGATATGATATAGAATAGTTTTAGAATATTAAAATATATCATAATTAATTAAATTTTAAAGTATTAATAAACAACGAAAAATGCGGAAAAAGAGAAAGAGATAAAATAAAACTAAAATAAGTTTATTAATGCTTTCAGAATATACACTTTTTAAATATCTTCATGGTTTGCGTATCTTAATAGACTGGAAGACTAGATAAGAAAAAGATATTTATATATTGTACATTGTACATATCTGTGTGAAATAAAAATGCATCATTGTCTGTATAAATATAAAACAGGTATAGGAAATACTTATTAAAATGTTGCATATTAATAATTTTTTTAATAAACTGTCAAATTATATGACATTATAATTTAAAAGATATTAGAAGAGCAGAACATAAAGAAAAAGTTTCTTTGTGATATGCATATAATACTTAGGCTTAAGTATTATAATTATGTAATAATTAATTTGTTGTTATCAACTAAAATGTCAGAATATCGATTGATGATTATAACATACATTATTTAACATCTATTTGCTATGTACAAAGTCTAAGGAAAAAATTAATTAATCAAAAATTATTGTTATCTGTGTAAATATAGTATAAAAATTAGATGACAAATCGTTATGCATTTGTAATTACAATTACGCGCAAACTGATTTGTCATCCACTATTATTGATTATCATAACTCACGTAAAATCTATTTTTATTGTCTAGCAGAAATTGGCTTTTGATTTCTCACGTGCATATATTACATACATCAAATTTATCGACAAATATTAATAAATGGGGTACTGATAACCAATTGTAAATATTACAATATATTTAAATGCTTTAATAAACTGCTTTAAAAAATTATTATGGTTAATTAACTACTCTATTCTAAGATAATTTTATATGATATACTTATGTATAATATTTTGATACACTTAATTGATAATATTGTACTTTTTTAAATATATTAATAACTAAGGAATAAATGCATTTAGATATCAAGAAATTTGTGAATATTTTATTACTGTATCTATTATCGTTGCAAATTTAAATTTTTATATATTAATTATAATTGCTAAGAAAAAATATTGTTAATTATTTCCGGTTAAATATAAGTCGACATATGTTCTGGTTGTAAAATATTTTCTATTTTTTTCCAATTTCTGTATTTCAAAATTAAACTTTTTTATCAAGCAATTCTATTTTATCATGCATATCTAAAATAAGTAATTTATTCTATCGCTTAATAAAGTTTTGTTGCATGTATGTAAATGAGTAATAAATTTATAAAAATTATATGAAACATAAATAAGACATAAATGTAAATACGATATGAGAAAAACCGGAAATAATAAACAATATTTTTTCTTAGCAATTATTAATATATAAAAATTTAAATTCGCAACAATAATAGATACAGTAGTCAAATATTCACAAACTTCTTGATATCTGAATGCATTTATTCAGGTTATTTGGTGATTAATATATTTTAAAAAGTGCAATTATTAGTTAAGGGTATAAGAATATTATAGATAAGTATATCATATAAATGTGTTGCCTTTTAAAATATGGATAGGTCAAGATAGAGTAGTAATTTAATTGCTTGAATAATTATTATTCGTCGATTTATTGTATGTGCATACAAAGTTGCATAAAATAAAAAAAGCTATAAAATAGAGTTTATTATAATTGATATAATTGATATAATATATATTATTATTAAATTTGTTTGTTTATTGTACGTTTATACATGCAACAGAACTTTATTAAGCGATAGAATAAATTATTTGTTTTAGATATGCATAAATTACTTGATAAAAGAGTTAAAATTTTAAAATGCAGAAATTGGAAAAAAATATAAAATATTTTACAACCAGACCATGTTAAAATTTAAGTCTTATATTTTGATAAATTGTTTCAAACTTAATAAAGATATTTTTACATTTCTTGTCAAGCTTTGTATGCACAGATAAGATTACAAAATTTTTAGCAAATATAAAATTATTTAATTTTGAGATTAAGATTGGATATAATTGAGTGCACTTACCAGTGCGATGCAGTGCGACCAGTAATAGAGTTGTACTCGTATGCAACACTAATCTGTAAAATATAAATATATTTAAATAAATATCTAAATTAATATTTTAAATTTCAATATTTTACAAAAATAATTATTACATGCATTTATATATAACTTCTTATTCTTAATCTCTTTTCATAAATTCTTAATCTTTTGTAGTTTTCTGGCTTTTAATTAAATATTTATTTAAAAAATTACGTAACTCTACACAAAATCTTTTTATATAAAAACTTTAAAAAATTTGATAAATAGAATCTTTAATTCTTGCGTATTTATAATTTAAATAACTATAACTTTTTAAATGGTGTAAAATATTACGTGTATGTTGAATTTTATATAAATACTTTACTAAATATTTTAAGCCTCTTAAATGTAAAAAATATATAATACATTTTATAAGCTATAATGTTACGTAATATTACTATATAATTAGTGCGTGGAATACTCGTTGTAATCGTGTGATTCTCGCGAGGAAAACCGTTTAAATTCAGTAACTAATAAAATAAGTAACAAATTGCTCACCTCGTGGTTGCTTCGCCGTCGCTCGACGCCTCCCTGGGCCTCCTCCTCCTCCCTCCGCGGCCGCTCATTTATAGCGCTCGCTAGAACACAATTAACTATTATATGATTGCTGACGACTCAAACTGTATTACATTTTGACGGAAAATCAATGCAGGAAATGCGTATGATTTCGCGACAAATCGCCGCGGTGCACGGTGATTGGATTCGCACGTTATAAAGCAGATGAAGCGTACGGGTTAAAGTTATAAGAATAAATGTTCGCGGAACGCGATATCCGGAAAATATGAACGTCGCTCTCTTGACTGTGTTCGCGCGACAGATTCGATCAAACGCATCTCGTGAAATATTTTAAGCAACGTACCGAGCGTCGAATCTACGTCACGCCAGTGTCAAATATATTAAGACACGATTAAATACGAGACAAATAGGTTCGTCCTGTATGCGCCGTGACGTCACGGCGACGAAAGATTCGAGAGTGACGCTGCTATCTTAACCATGATGCCGCGCGACGAATTTTGGTTAAACGCGCATCTCGCGAAATACTCGTTTTATGAAGTCAGCGATATGTACCGGTCGAATCTACGTCGTATGCGCGTCAAATACCGGAGGCACGATTGCGTTCAAGCTTATAATGATTGTGCTTACCGATTAATTAAACGTGCCGCGACTAATAGGCCCGTCCTGTACCCGCGACGTTCCGTTCGCGACGACGAGGGATTAGAGAGTGACGTCACGATGCGCCACCTTTCCCGTGATCCCGCGCGATAGATTTCGGCCGAACGAACGCATCGCGAGAAATATCTTGAGCAATGTATCGAGCTTCGAATCTACGTCGCGCGGGTGCCAATTATTAAGATACCATTAAATACGGAAGCTCATAAGCGATTGCGCTTACCGATTATAGCGATTATATACGAGCCAAGACGAATAGACCTGTCGTTCTGTACCCGCCGACGTTCCGTTCGCAATGACGAGGGATTAGAGAGTGACGTCACGATACTCACGATGCGCCATCTCTCCCGTGATCCCGCGCGATCGATTTCGGCCGAACGAACGCATCGCGAGATTCGCGAGAAATATCTTAGCAATATGTATCGAGCTTTGAATCTACGTCGCGCGGGTGCCAAATACTAAGGCACCATTGAATACGGAAGTTTATAATAATGATTGCGCTTACCGGAGCTCACCGATTATACGAGCCGCGACAAATAGATCCGTCCGTCCTGTATGCGCGAGTGTTGCGTACGCGCCTTCGCGGCGACTCGGCGACGAAAGATTCGGAGAGTGACGCCACGCCCCCCCGCGGCCCGCACCAACTTTACAGTGACGCTGCGCGACACGACGCGAATCAAATTGGCGCCTGATTACGAAATGATTGACTGCTCAAAGATACAAAATAATAATTTGTATTTGCTATTATCATCATTTTCCATTCCTTATATCACTTCATTCTTTTAAACAATTAAGTCAATAGAAAAATTGTTTCGAGAAACACATAGCTATCGATTCGATCAATTAAGCCAGTTCTACAGTCGTACGTCGAGTCGGATTTCGGAACGCAGCCGATGCGATGGTCCAATGAGAAAATTTCTTTTTCGAAAATGAATTTTTCTCATTGGATCATCGGCTGACGGCTACGTTACGATATCCGACTTCGACATACGACTGATTGTAGAACCGGCCTTAACAATTATTAGTCGTACGGATAAATTAATTACAACAAACTACCGCGTTATTAATAGTCGTTTCAAAAAATAATAATATGACGACGCTCGTACTGTTCGACGCTTGCGCAAATGACAATAACAAAACACGATATGTCGCACAAAAAAGAGAGATACGAACGCCCAGCGAAAAATTGATTTCTTTTATTCATTTAATAAAACCTAATTTTATTTTATTAAAACCTAATTGCAGGCCAGCGACAGTCCGAAACTGGAGCAGCAACTGCAGCAGCAGGATTGTGTCAAAAAGGAGGAATGCTGCGAGATGATCAGCGGCGACAAGAACGACGCCGAGCGCGGGCCGCGGCGGCAGCGCATCGCCACCGACCGTCGAGGTGACGTGCAACGACGGCGTCGTCGTCGTCGTCGTCGACGGTGGCCAACAGGACCGCGATTCCCCGGAGGTGGCAGCGCCGACGTCGACTACCGTGGAGAACGATGTCAAGGAGGAACCAAAGAGCAACGATGTCCAGAAGACGACGTCTAACCTTAAGAGGTCCGTCAAGGCTGAGCATAAGCAGCGCCTGTTCGCGAGAATGGACGACCGTATGGACATCGAAATCAAGTTCGAGGACTACCAGCAGAGCGGCAAGGACGAGCGGGAGAAGCACGAGGAAACTGGACAGCGGTCCAGCGAGGATCGCGAGGACGAGGACGCCGGTAGGAGCTCGTCGACGTCCCCGACTCCGTCCAACGTAAACAACACTATAGTGGATTTTGTAGCGCCAGGCAGAAGGTAGCGTAGACTTTCTATACGTTAATTAGTGTAGTATTTGTTGGAAATTGTGAATATTTTGAAATACGTCTTTAACTAGGATGTAGTTTCACTTTAATATATATTTTGACATAAAGCACAAAATATAAGGTTGTCTTCTAAAGTGTTCACTTCTGGATGACCTGGATACTTTTGTATATAGATCAACAAGAAGAATTAATTTATGCACAAGTACTATTTTCAAGATTGAAGATAATGTTAATCTTTAAAAAAATGCCAAATGTATAAAAATTATTTATATGTCCTTTAAAACTAAATTTTTTTTCTTCGACAATGTCCATCCGAATCGTTCAGAGATTGATGAATCGTCTTATGTGTTCTCTCGTTCATATTTCAGAGAGCCAGAAAAGTATTTGATCTTTCGGATAACAACCTGGTAAAGCGCAAACGAGGTAGACCAGGTAATAATAAAAATTTGTTGATGCAAGACTCAGGATTCGGTTACTAAGCCAACTGTCAAAGACGGAGCGTGCAGGCAGTGCAGCCTCTGTGCCAAAGAGAAACAGGAGGCTCTCGTAGCTTGCAGGGATTGTACAGGGCGAAGTAATTCTTGAATATAATTGGAACTAATTTTGATTATTTTTTTTAAATTTCTTATTGACGTGTCACATACGCATATTACGTATACTTGCAGCACATCCGAGTTGTATTTGCAGTCCAGAGGAGTTACTACAGAAAGCTAAGAGCAATTGGCAGTACGAGCGCTGTACAGTAACCTGCACAGTATGCTGCGAGACCTCTGACGCTGTAAGTTTATCATGCCTTTTATTCCATTTCACGTGACTTTATTTTTATCCCGTTAATTAATTTTCATTTCGTCCTTTTTCTCGATCGAGGGTCCGTTAGTGACATGTTATAGCTGCAACGATGCCTATCACTATTTCTGTCACACGTCTATAATTTTGAATAAACCTTTTAATCAGCTATTCTTATTTGTCTTTAAAAAGAAACTAGATCTAATTAGCATATATCATAAATAATCTTCGAAACAATGTCGACTTGTAAATTTTCTGGTTTGTCTGTAAGTTGACTTGAACGTATAGTTACATTATTTATTAAAGCTAATCATGTCTGGTACGTTTGCAGTATTTATTATTATATTATTAATTCTCTTAGAACGTTATTAGTTAATTAATTTTGACGGATATATTTAAAATAAGCAGAAATATTTAACAAGAATATTTCCTATTTCAGAGATATCCAAATTTCCTGGCAGTTAATTTCCTTTTATTACAAATATCGTGCACGTGTACAATTTCCGTAAATTTTAATATCCTCTCTCTGATGCTGGATATCTCTTCGTCATGTCTCTCGCGTGTGTGTGTGTGTGTGAAACGGTAGTTTCTTATTTCCTGAAATTCTCTCAATTTCTCCATTAACGGATATAGACTCTAGACGTTACGTGTCCTTGAAAATTTCGCTATTTCGTAGGCTCCCTAAACTTTCTGATGTGTCAATAGAAACGCCGTACGTTTTGGATGACTCGCGTGCATATACGCGCGCGCTCATCGCGAGCCACACGCGACTACGGGAGTGGCTCGCGGGCGCGCCCTGTGCATCACGCCCGGCCGTACCCCGCCCGGATGCATGCATCGTCCTGTATCGATGTGTCGGTGCACTCTCTGGACGCACGGGAGATCGGCAAATCTAAGATCGTGCAACTGGTGTCCAGTGGCGTGTCCGCGGCCGGTACACGTTGGCGAGCGCGGAGCGGGAGCGAGCGAGACGGGGCGCGCGCCAGCCGGACGCGAGGAACGAAGAGTGAAGGATGAAGGAGCCCCCGGGAAGGAAAGGCGACGGTAAGGCCCCGAAGAAGAAGGGGAGAGGTGGAATGCGCGCGGTTCTCGAAGGAGGAGCTGTCGGCGGTGAAAAATCACGCACCCCGCCACGGCCGGAGCGCAGCATCTGCTCTACATACCCTGGCTCTCAACCTATCTACCTATGCGCGACTATCGTCGATCGACGACCTGTGAAAATCGCTCAATCGACGACCTCGAAGCGCACCTTCGCACCCGTGGTGCGTGCGATAATCGATTCCCCGGTGCTCGCCGGGTGCTCCCCACGTGCTCCTCGAAATAATTGTGTCGCGCGAGATAATTATGGCTTTCACAGATTATGAACGCGCTGTTCTTTTTACGTAGGTTCTTTGATGATAAATTTATTCCGCTCTCGAGCCTGCGAATTGTCTAAAAGATAAAGACATTGAAACTTTTCCAGCAAGCCGAATCGCCTAAAATCGTGCAACTGCTACGTAATATCGTAAAAAACGTGTAATAAATTAATTATTAATTAATACAATCACAGATAACATAAAATCTATCTACTTTATTGGGTGCTTCTTTGTTATTCTACACAAAATCCGAGACATTATATGCTGCCAAAATAATTTCCGTCGAAGATCAGTTTGTAGAGAAATCTTATTTTCTGAAATTTTCATTTGCGACTTATTACGTCACCGCTTCGCTTAATGAATCGTTTCCTGCGCAGTGCGGCCGTACATCCGATGGGTAATCGTAGCTATTTTTAAAGAGTCCCTCGCACGCGATCATCGGGGGCTTCCGCGAAGGCACGGGAGAGCTCATCAATGAGAACCTCGAAGAATCGGAGTAGCAGAGCAAGATATACGTGTGCTGGCTGAGCTACCGGTCGGTCGGGTTGGATCGCTGTTCTCCTGTGTTTCATCTCTCTCTTTTGCTCTGTTTTGCCCGCTCCTCTCCCGCTGCCTTTCCTCTTTTCACCTCCCGGCTCATCCCGGCTCGCTCTCTCGCCCTTTCTACCCCGCGACCGTTCCTCTCTGTCTCCGCCGCTGCCGCTCACTCCCGTGAGTTGTTGTTCGGCTGTTTTATTACTTTTATAAATGCCGCCGCCAGGATGCTACCTACAGTACCTACTACCACTTGCCCGGTCGCAGATCGGCGTGGCAGGCGTTTCCTTTGTTGGTCTCCACCACGTTCCATTGTTGCTCGCAGAAAGATGCGAATTTTAATTTGATATTGTCTAATATTATTTATGTATGCGACTAGAGAATCTCGCGGGAGGACCGCCGCTCTCGCGCGATCGTGCCGTTTCTTCCATTCAATGGGAAACCGTAGTCACATCTATTCCGATGACTTAACTATACGTATGGAAGATCTCGCGTCTCGTTTTCTGTGCGCGCAGTCGCTCGAATTCGATCTCGCGAACATTCGGGTTTTGCTCATTGATTCTTTGTCATGTAATTTTTCTGCAGCAAGAAATTTGACAACTGTTTAACACGTATTGTTCAACATTATCGATTTCAACGTGCGGCGCACGGTTCGGAGCTTCTCCTCGCAAACTTATTTTCTAAGAAGAAAAATTTTGCCTCCTCTCCTTCCCTCAATAATATCTGACCTATTGTACAAGTATTCTTAGCCGTCCTTCAATGTGTTCAAAACTCCGTGGCAAATCGTCACGTTCCGTTCACCATAAACATAATCTAATTACCGGCTTGTCGCTGACGAAGCACCGTTAGACTTGCGCGTACGTGCTCGGTCCAACTAGGGAAATCAATATCACAGCCAACAATCCAGGTTTACGCTACGAACTGCTTTGCACGACGGTACGCGCAACAGTTGCGTCGAGACGAGACACGAAGAGGAGTTACAGTCGGGCGTACCGTCGCTGGTCGAATTGTTCTCCAGCACTTCAGCCAACAACAATCGAAAAGTGCGCGCGTTCGCGGGGTTCTAATCGAACTCCGAACATCAATTTTACATCGAATCGGTTGGTCCTCAATTATTAATTAGAAAACCGCGTAATTTCGAATGCTGCCTAACACGTCTCGCGTTGCCATGGAAATCCGCGAGAATGACGGCATCAGTCCTGGACCGAAGATACTTACAATTAGATAAACAACGTACTAAATATGTACACTTCCGCCACGATGACGGAGGAGAAACGACTGTCGTTGGGCATCAACGTCAGCATTCTGCTGATACTGACGATATTCGGCGTGCTTCTGTCCTTGCCTTTGCGATTGTTGTTCGACACGAATTACTCCGACCAGAATCGCGATGAGAGCGGAGCCAGTGGCCCGGGCGGGGGAAGAGAGTCCGTGATACCGATGGTTCACCGAAAATTAAGATGCTGTCCGAATCTGCAGTACGAGGCTCGCTTGATGTCCGTCTTTATGAGCGATTACGACGGAAATTGCACGTACGTGCAGGACGAGTGCGACGATGACGAGGATGACGACGATGATGACAGCGACTCTGAAGAGGAAGAGGATAGCAGAGAGGATAAGGACGAGGAGGAGAGGACGAAGAAGACGTACAGGTCCAAGAGGCGCATCGGCGAAGAAATGAAAGAAAGCGCTGAAGAGATCTTGAAGTCGCGTCAGATGAAGTCCGTCACGGTGGCAGGCCACATACTCGTGACGATGTTGCTCGTATCAGTAATAGCCGCCCTCGTTGAAGTACTGCGAATACGCTTCGCCAGAGAAAAAGTATTGCGTCACACATTACAAAAGTCCTTAAGCACTTGCGTTGGAACTTGGTATCCTTAAAAGCGTATGGATACGTCGAAACGCATGTCACTGTGAAAATTTTCACTTGGCGAGTACGCAACATTTTTCAGAATCTCTAGCTCCCTTCTTGAAAATAACGCAATATGATTTCCAAAAGTGGTCCTAATTATTCAAACACTCATTCTAAGTAAAGCCATCACTTTAATTCAGAGATGATACTTTATTTCAACGCAAGTAATTAACTGTCCCTTCAATTATTTGAGCACATCATGCATGATTTGCACTTAAATATTGCCAGACATGAGTTAAAGCCCAGATTGAGCTAGATTCTTAGATGTTTGCACCATTAGGGAAATAATTGCGATATTCGGCAGAGACCGACGGGATAAGCGCTTCGCAGTTTTCCTCGCGGAGCTATAGTAAAAACCGTCTCTCGATGCTCGGATAGACACGCATTCGTGAAACTATTGCACCTTCTCTTTTCAAAAATGCATAAGGATTCGTCTAGGGCAGGCACGATTATTTCGCGGAGAAGCTCATCCAACGTGGTGGACATATCCGCTCCAAGACGTCCCACTTCAAGAGAATTAATTAGAAGCCAAAAGTCCTTTGAGATACCGGGAGGAATGCACCATTCCGCAATGCGTTTATTAGGTATGTGTGCGAAATAGTAAGGAATTATAATCTCTAAATATTTATCACGATCAAGGAGACGTTAAAAATATATAAAAAGTCATAATATCTTTTACAATTAAAATATTGGAAACTATGTACAACGCGGAGTAGATCAGTATGAGATCGTCGACCGTTTTAACTCGATTAGTGGCGGTAAGATGAAAAAATTTAATTATCCACCCACAGGAGCGCGGCCGCCCCCGCTTATCCGTCGCTCTTCGTTTCCAATACCACAAGCGAAAAAAGCCGCTACTTCGTCTCTTTGTGGTACACCGAGTAAAGGACTGACGCGGCGCCAGTCGGCTGAGTCGGACGAAGAAATCGGGATCACTAACGCTCTTCATCATCGCACCCGTCTAATCCGACGACATTAAAGCTGCACGAGAACAAGGTGAAGATTATATTAACCCTTTGCGATCAAAATTATTTCTTGCAAATTAGCGAAAATCGAGTACTTTTATTTAATCTAATCCGCGGGTATGTGAATTAAAGAATTTTTATTATTTAGAGGAATTTAAGATCTCAAAAATATAATTATGCAATGATCACAATTTCCTTATTTGAAAACATGGTAGAGTCTTAAGTTTTCCTTTGTAGATAAATGATAAATTCTGTGGCGTAACAAATACTAGATAAATAAATGTTCTCTTTTCAGTATACATCAATCCATTAAATTTTTACGTCGGCGACCAAACTAACAGGGTACGCGTCATCACTATACGGTATGTTTTTTGACACAATGATAATCCTTATACAATTAGATAAACTTATAGCTTATCGAATGATTCAAAAGATACATGGATATATCGCTTATGGGTATGTCAACAGATTACACTACGCACAACGATCACGTCCAATGACCTTTTTTACGCTCGTGCAACGTCGAAAAACCCTTTTGCTGAGGAACAGATTTCCGCAACAGCATCTTCCAATAACATCCCTTACAGCGGCTTCAATAGTGCTCCATCTCCGCAACGCTTTTATATCACGCTGTCCATTAAGTTCTGCTTTCTTATATTTAAATTTAAAACAATGATTAATATACAGAATCAAACAGGATCGAAAGTCATCGCGCAAATCACTGTGGAAAGTTGAATTACGACAGCACATACCCGGACTAATATATTTAATAGATAATCTTTATTTTCCATATAGATCGCACAATGCTTTAACCCTTAAATGCGAAATTTTTCGTAGCATTCTGAGTATTTTTAAAATAAATAATAACTATTTAAGAAATCCTTGAAAAATTCTTCTTTACGAATTTTAACCCTTTTTGTCCTAATGGATGTACATGCAGAGAAGGCTCTTTACAGATGTGCAACAAATGCGCACTTAAGGGTTAAAGTCGCACAATCAAACGAAAGTATTTGCATTTAATCTAATTTAATTAGCAGTGAGATGTTAATTAATTATTATCGATCTTCTTCTCGAGCAATAGAATATTTATACAAATACGATATTGTTTCAAATGGATGTTTTAGAAATGTGTACATCAGAAGCGAGATAGCATTCTTAAATTCAACTGCAGCTAAATCAACGATGTAACTAAGCTTTCGTTTGAAATAAAGCTAAGAAAGAATTATTTTTTTTTAAACACTACTCTGATGTAAACTTTTCTTGAGGCACCTGACGATAGAATAAGTATATGTGCACTCTCAAACTGATCATAGTACAACGACCAAATAATCTCTAATCGTGTGATTTCCGTCATTTTCTTAACGCGTCCATCATTTCTTATCAATATGTGTATTAATATCTAATATTCAGAAAGAATTATAAAGCTCGTTTTGTCTCTACGAAAGTCACGATGAACTCATCAAAATACAGACGAATATGCTAGATTGTAATTTTGTAACATTGTAAATGAGTTTGAAGGAATAATTCCTTGATGTATTTTCGTAACCGGAAAATATAGCTGTGTCTCTCTCTGCATCGACAGATCTTTGATAAGCTTACGCAGCCTCAACGAACTGTGATCATCGTATTTCTTTGTGATATGTACAATCCGGCATCATAAATGCCTTAACACGTCAAGTTGCATCAATTGCAAACGTACTCGCGTGCGAATTGTATTCATGCATTTGTAACTGTGTGTGACATTGGCACAGTAGCCACTGTCTTATTCGTGTAAATAAGAAAAAAGACTTTACAATAATTAAAGCTTGCACAACACGGAATTCTGTCTTGTACCATTTTATATCATTACGGCATTCTCCGGATTCTTTGTCAATTTTCGAGAATTTTTATTTTTGCGAGTCAAGCTTTTTAGACTTGAATCTTCAATTATTTTCCAAGCTTTAGCTATTGCCATTTTTTTACCGATAACGAGCTAGTTCATTAATATGGAGATGAAAAATTGTAAAAAATAGTATGAGAGTAGAAAATACAAAAATTGTTTTTCCTTAGGCAATTTGATAAAATGCATGAAATAAGATAGCAAAATTTTGATGCTGTCTTAAAACGTTATTAACATTTGATTTCTAAAGAGGTATAAATTCAGTCATTTATATTAATATTTATATAATAATTTTCATTTGTTTATTTGTTGTTTAAATATCAGCTGTTTCTACTTATTGGTAAAGTAGAAATTTGCAGAAAGCCCGACACGTGGAAGAACGGAGCATATTTATCAACGTGTGCCATCTGTCGAGCTATTGACGTTAGTTGTTCGTACAACACGTAAATGTGCCGATGAATCAGCTGTTTGCAGTTGTTTGCTAGTATTTAATGCGGTTTTCCTATTGTGGTTATTCAACACCGTAGATAATGTGATTCATCG